TAGACATAGTGACATGATGTCAACTTGACAGCACAAACGTACACGCACATGGGCCAAGGTCTAATGAGCATATGCGCAGATCACGTTATCGGACCATGACAAATCGAGTGGCTATTATCCCGAGAACGACCCGCAAGTACAAAAACCGCACACTAAACGCAAACGGATCGTGTGATTACTTCGTTAAACGACTCCTTCCGCTTCTTTGTCAGGACCATCCTGCGTGTCGAAATGGAAAGTTTGATCGCAACGTACATCGTCTGCGCCAGCAAAATAGTACTCACTTCCGTTGTCCGTCCGTCTTCAATCCTGTGTATTCAGCCTCGTTTCTGTACATTCATCGATTGAATGACCTGCAGGGAACAATCCACTATCGAAGACTCAAGGAGCTCATGTAGACCATGCGAAGTTGTCGCATCATGAAGTGCTGCTCACAACAAGTAGTCACCAAGTAATGGTATGTACGATGACACACTGCAAAAAGAACTTCCATGCTTCCAGAGCCAGCGAGGCCATGATGAGCTAGCTGTTAGGAAAGGAGTGTGGTTCCCGTCAAGCCAGAAAAGCAGAGTAAGTCGCAGGGTATTGCAGAGCGTTGTACTGTGGTGACACGATATTCTATCGCTAAGAAGAAGAAGCTCATGTCTTCACGGGAAAAAGGTAGGGAACTCGGTATTGCTTTGTGTCCCTGGCAAACCAAGCCACGAACGACAGCCTGCTCGCATCATCGAACCGACATTGGTGACGCGCCATTGCGGATGAACTGGTTGCCCTTTGAAGAGTCGAGTGTCACACCGCCCGGCAGGACGATGAACACGACATAACGAGACCATCTTTGTAACGGGGTGAATCGTTGCATTACAATTTATAAGAAATTGTTAATAGAATATAACTATAAGAGTTATATTCTCAGAATATTGTCATAAGGACAGATATTCTGTAGCACTTTCAAGTAGTTCCTAATTGGTTGATATAGGCCATTATATCAACCAACGAAGACGCGCCACGACAGACGCACGCAATGAGTGGTGAGCAGATAGTTGATATGCACATTTGTATTCAGGCATAGTTAGATGAGGATAAACAGTGGTTTATTAACAGACATTAACGATTGTAAATACAGTTCTACTTTTTACTTTAACCAAGTACTCGCTTCTTCCTACCGTCTTCCTCTGCACGTACGAGTGTACGTGAAGTTACGAGGCACCGTCTTAAAATCTGTCGTCAGAATAAGTAGCTTGTACTGTTACCAGTACAAGCTTCAGGGTGCCCTGTTACACCTGGTAGCACTTCGTAGTCCGTCCAAGGACTACGTTCACATCTAACATGAATATGTTGGATGATGAAGATGACCAAAGCTTTCACGCTACGCGTGACGGCTAATCCCATTTGAGCGATGTCGAATGGGATGCGGATGGGTTCGACCATGGGCATCCTTGCTGTTAGCGTCATGCTAGAGGCTCTCAATAGAGATGCCCAACATGCTACTATCGCCAAGTTCATTCAAAATGAACTTGACGCTGAACGCGAGAAAGTAGCCTTGCTTCACCAACAAGGTTAGCAACAATCAGAATTGTTGAGAGAACAGGGTGTTCAACAGTTTGAACTGTTGCGACAGCAGCAGGCTGCTGCTGCTGGTGGGTCGATGCACTCGCGTCGACCCGAGACTTTGATGATTGACATCTCCAAGCATATAGGAGTCGAAGAGGACTCTCTCTTGAGGTGGTTCGTCGAATTAGATGACGCCATAAGGGCGCGTCGCATCGACGACGGAGATATGCAAGTTGCATTTGCCCAATCAAATCTGGCAGGACGTGCCAAGACTTGGGCACTGGGGCTCAAGTTGCACGACCCATATGCGTTTGGGTCGTTGGAAGCCTTCAAGTCGCGGCTCAAATAAACGATTGAACCGCCTAGAGCTGAGTTCAGAGCTCGAACCGAACTCTTGAAGCTCAGACAAGGTAAGCGTGATGTGCACGCTTACGCTCAACATATACGACATCTTACGAGTTGTATAAGTTCCAATCCGGTGGATGAACACACGTTGGTTTCGGTGTTCATGCAGGGTCTTGCGGATGGTCCCGTTAAGACTCACATGTTCCGACTTGAACTAGATTCACTAGAACAAGCCGTTTCCATTGCGGACAGGAAGACTTCAGTCTGAGACAGGCTCGCGCCAGCTCGACATCATATCGTCAACCGAGACGATATGACAGCGGAGGTCCAGAGCCGATGGAACTCTGTTATGTAGAGAGCGAGAAGGCCCGCTCTACAGACTACAGGAAGTTGCAGAAATGCAGCAGATGTCAAAAGACAGGACACTACGCTTACGAGTGTAGTGCCCCTCGTCCAGTGTCTCGCGACACTGGGCGTAGTGACCGTCCACCCATGAGAAAGGGGCAGGGACGTGGGTCCGCTGTTGGTGCAAAGACGCAACGACGAGATGGACCGTAAAAAACGGACAGGGTCAGTAGGTGCGGAGCACCCTACTGGTCCAGCAACGTCAAGCAAATTTGTAGGCCTTTTGACGAAGGGTGCTCCCAACACACAAACGTTGTGCGTTGCTGCTCTAGGTAATGAGATCTCACTCATTACCTTGAAACTCGAAGTGACAAATAAGTTGTCCCTTCGAGCTCTAGTCGATTGTGGGGCGTCCAACAATTTTGTGCAACGCCAATCGCTAGAAGATGGTCACTTTAAATTCAGTGAATGTGACACACCTCCTACGAGGATGACGGTATGTCTTGCGACAGGCGCATCCGTAACCGTCATGAAGCGTTTAGTGAAGATCCACTATACGCTAGAAGATACCCAATATGATGATGACTTTATCGTATTGGATATGGATGACAAATTTGATGTCATCCTTGGAATACCGTGGCTCAGAAGGTACGAACCACGGGTAAACTGGCAACATCGAACAGTAACGAAGCCTGCCACTTGTTCACCAGATGGCCATCTGACGAACGTTTTGGAGCGTCCACAAGCGTGTGGATGTACTACGAGTGAGTGCGATGGCCTCACTTGTGGTACGGTCGTTAGTACGACTGCACAAAACCTTAGTGTAACAAACAGTTGCACTTCGGAACAAGCTTTTGGAGGCTGTGAGCAAACACAGGCTGCGCCGAAGGTCCACCACTCGAATAAGTCGAGTGGACCGGGACAAAGATGTATCCCTAGCGGGGAACATCTAGAAGAGAAACAATCGATCGCTCAGGTTAAGCGAAACGATAATCCTAGATCGACTGGAGAGTCTTTCGTAGAGGATCTCGCTGTGGTTCCGCAACCCCAGCTAGAGGAAGTTAAGGGAATAAGTCCCGATATAACAAATGCGGCGGAAATAAGTTCCCCGAAACCCGCGGGAATAAGTCCCCGGGAAGCCGAAGGAATAAGTCCTTCGAAGCCTGAGGGAATAAGTCCCCAGGAACTGACAGAGACATTGAATGTCATAGTCAATAACGGATCGAGTGTAGGCGCTTATACACTTGATCTGACTGCGCCTCCGAAGTTGACTTCGGAGATCACTCAGTTGACAACGCTCGAACATTAAAGGTTCTTGCGTGATCTGCGTAGTGGCAAAGTCAAGCAGATCTGCGTACTCGTCACTGACGACGAGTGTGTAGCCGACATAAGGTCAGCAACAGTGTTCACTGAGAACGAGAGAATTCTCAGTAGTTCATCTATGGACGAGAGTGTCCTAGATGAAAAGACACGAATTGAGCGATATGACTCCCAATCATGGGAATCGCTCAAGACAAATCCTCTCTATGAAGATTTGGTTGAATTCAAGGATGTATTCCCTGAAACTGTTCCGTACGAATTACCGAAGGATAAAGGTATTCGACACGAGGTCGAGCTCAAACCAGGCTCGAAGTACTGTGTCATGAAGCAGTGGCCACTGCCCCGTGAACAAGTACTTGCGATCGACAAGTTCTTTGCCGATCGTTTAGCTGCGGGCCATGTGAGAAAATCAACTTCTCCACACAGCTCTCCTACCTTCTGTGTGCGAAAAGCAACAGGAGGGTGGCGGATTGTGCATGCATTTAACAAGTTGAATGCTGCAACGGTACCGGCTCAGACGCCGATACAAAGGAAGGACGTAATCATTGATGGTATGTCAAAGAGTACCATCTTTTCGTCCATGGATTTGATGGATGGCTTCTATCAGATCCTTATGCGAGAACGGGATATACCCTATACCGCAGTTAGCACGCCTAGCGGCATGCTCTGGGAATGGCTAGTAATGCCACAAGGGCTTAGTAATGCCCCTGCCACGTTCAACAGATGTGTATCACATCTGTTGAGACCAGTACGAGAATTCGCGCCGAGTTATTTCGATGACGTATTCATCCATAGTCGGGCTATGGATGAAAAGTCGGACGTTGAGGTTCACAGATACCACGTCCGACAGGTTCTTACAATCATGCGAAAGCATCAATTGTATGCAAACCTCAAGAAGTGTATATTTGCCGCAAGCGAAATACCACTTCTTGGGTGCATCGTTGGTAAGAACGGGGTACGTCCTGATCCCGAAAAGATCAAGGCGATCACCGACTGGCCTGTGCCGGTTGATGTCAAAGGTCTTCGAAAATTCCTTGGGCTAGCGGCGTATTTGCATAAGTATTCACGCAATTACACCGAGATGACTGTACACCTCTATCGTTTGTTGAAAAAGAACGAGAGGTGGTTATGGAACGCTGAATGTCAACGCTCCTTTGAGGGTATCAAGCAGAGCTTGATACAATCCCCAGTTCTAGCAATAGCCGATCAGGAAAGGCCATTTCATGTGGTCTGTGATGCCAGCTATTTCGCAATCGGCTGTGCATTAATGCAGTACGACCTAGAAGGCGTTGAACGCGTCGTCTGCTATCAGTCTCGTCAGCTGCAACCAGCTGAGCGGAACTATCCAGTGCATGACAAGGAACTCCTTGCCATGAAGTATGCATTCGCGAAGTTCAGAGTCTATCTATCAGGAGATAGAACCTTCATTTAATACACTGACCATGCGTCGTTACGCACGGCAGTAAACAGCCCGCACCTTTCACAACGAATGGCGCGGTGGTTGTCATTCTTTGCAGAATACAACTTTACGGTAGAGTACAAACCAGGACGACTTAATGTCTTCGCTGATGCACTCTCACGTCGTCCCAACTTTGAACCAGTCGTGAAACCCAACAGTGAGACAGCCACTGTTGCGGTTATGACGTCCTCAGTACCATCTTCAACGTTGCATGATGATGTGAGGCAGGCGTATGCCCAAGATGGTGAGATAGTGAAGTTGTTGACACATCTCTCACAGCCATCTCGAGAATCGTTGAAACGATTGTCGTCTGTGTATCGATCTGCATCAGATCGATATACTACTCGCAACGGTTTACTGTATTATACAGTCGTTTCTGGTGACACACCACGTGTTGTCATTCCAGATGATACTGATCTGCGTTTGCGGATCATGTTCGAGTATCACGATGCTCCTATAGGAGGACATCGTGGCCGGGAGAAACATATCTCATGGTGAGTCGAGACTTTTACTGGCCCCGCCAGTATCAGTTTGTGCGCAAGTATGTTCGCGCATGCGAAGTCTGTCAACGAGTGAAGTCAAGTCCTTCACTGCGTGCACCTTTACAGCCTCTACCAGTTCCGGCAGAGTACTGGGAATCCATCTCAATGGATTTCGTCTTCGGGTTACCCAAAGACGCACGCGGGAATACGGGTATTCTCGTATTTGTTGACAGATTCAGCAAAATGGTACACCTTGTGGCTGTAACCGAGTCAATCACAGCAAGAGGCTGTGCTTGTGTCTTTATTGACACCATCTTCCGACTTCATGGGTTGCCCCGTGAACTCGTATCAGACAAAGATCCACGATTCACTGCTGATTTCTGGCGTTCAATGTTCAAATCACTCGGAACGCGCTTGAAGATGTCGACATCTGATCATTCAGAGTCAGATGGTCAGACGGAACGTGCCAATCGTATCCTTGAAGAGATACTTCGAGGATACGTACACTCCTTTAAGAGTTGGAGTGAGTTTTTGCCCATGGTAGAGTTTTCCATTAACAACTCGGTGCATGCGTCCACGACACATACACCGTTTTACGTGAATGGCTTGCACCATCCGCGTGTACCCACCTTACTAGAGTGTAACTCTGGTTTAAGGGGGGGAGGGACTCGCGCGAGCAAAAACCGAATTGGTTCACGCTCATCACGCTCTGACGAAGAAGTCATTGCGTTTGATGCCGATATCGATAACATCGATATCGAAGAAGATGATGCCAGTGAGAGGCGGAAGCCCTATGAAGAATGATCCCAGTGAGAGTGCGGAAGCCCTCACTGAAGAAAAGGTTGATGTTGCTGCAGTGCGCTCACAGCACACTGAAGCTAACGAGTCAGCAGATGAGTTCATACTGGCTCGTGAAACGGTAGTCCGTTTTGTGCAAGACTCCATCGCCGAAGCGGTGGATAAGCAAAAGCAAAACGCTGACAAGAATGGAAGGACTTAGTCCTACTGTCTACGGTTAACCTACCAAAGCATGTAGTGACTAATGTGGGTAGCAGTAAACTACTACCCAAGTACATCGGCCCATTTCGTGTATTGCATCTCCTAGGCAATGCATACACGATCGAGTTGCCACGTAAGATGCGAACGCATCCCACGTTTTACGTTGGTCGGCTTAAGCCGTACCATCAGTACGCTGCTTCTTCCGATGAAGAACGCCCTTGCGCTCAAGCATCTTGCAGAGAGCCTTGTGCTTCCGATGGTGGGCATCGACAAGGGTCTGAAGAGCAGCTATCTCATCCCGAGACCGATCAACAATCCCACGAGCTACCCTTAGCTCGTCACGAAGAGATGTAAGAGATCTCTCGTTCTCAAGCTGAGCAAAGGCAAACTCAGCTCGATGCTTCAAGACATTGTCCGCCAGTTGGAGACGCCTGTCCCGCTCACGTTCGATGTCGTTGCGTAACCCTTGCGTTACGCGATCAAAGAAGCTCTCGGGAACACACCGATCCACATGATCGTGTGGAGAGCGTCTTTCCTCCTCCTCCACCTCCATTAGAGGACTCTCGCGGTGGCCAGCGCTATCTGAGTTGAGCAGCTGTTGAGCCACCGCGACGTGAACGGACGTCGGACGAGTTATCTTGTCCGGTGGCGCGGCTATCCCCCGTCCTGGGATACTTGGGAGCCCCGCTCCCAACTGATGACTGACGTACTGGGTCTGGTTGAGCAGTACGACGCGGCACATCCTGTGCCGCAGAAGGACCGCCGGAGAAAGTCTTCCCGGCACGGTCGTTTGTCAATCCCTTCGTACATCTCAGTAGAGACACGTACGCGCCACCACGGGATTGTAAGGAGGTAAGCCTCCTTCGGTGCTCGTGCAGAGTTGTTCACACAACATGGGCACGAGTCTCCCCATGAGAGGCAGGGTAATCCCTTCTCCCTTGACAGACGATGCAGCTTGTAGCGTGCACCTGTCGGGGTTCGCTTTTCAAACTTATCACGAGCTTTGATAAGTTTGCCGTTCCAAACGTCACGACCTACATCCTCAAGGTTATGGATGTAAGCGTTCCACGCTTGAAGCAGTGAGGGACCATCACTTTTGTGATTCCCACTGTACCATCGATGTTTAAAGAAAGCAATGATGAAGAATTCATTCTCAGTGTGATAGTCTTTCACACTGGGGTCAAGGTGATGGATCCTTGACGAATCGAACAATCGTGTTCGATAACGATCACTCGTCGTCGCCGACAAGTGATCCATGACGGATTTAGGAGGCATCCATGCCTTCTTCTCGGGAGCGAGACGCAAAACGTCCCGCTCTTCTTGCGACGTGCCGACAGAAGTACTGGCACCTCGCTGTGAAGTGGTGTCCATAGGAGAACCGACACCACTATTAGCGCCCGAGTCTCGCGACCTCGAGCGCCTTCGCTTCGGCGATGGTTCATCTGATTCATCAGATGAACCAAAGATGCTGCGACGCAAAGCATCGTCCATGCCACGCTTGGCAGGCGGCTTAGATTCAATCGCCGTCGATACGGGTCCGTCATCCGTATCAGGAGAGTACGAGACACCGAGCTCGTACTCTGTGAAGACACGACTGTCTTCATGACCAGCACCTGCATCACCAAGTGACACAGGCTGAGTCGCTTCAGCAACAGATGACACATCAGTTGTTGCAGTTTCTGCTTCGGCGTCTGCACAGAGACGTGCAGACGCGCTCTCAGCGGCCTTGCTCGCGCATCGCATGGGCTTGTTTACCATGCGATGAAATGTTGGAAAGTGGACGCGGACCAACAAGTGCAAACCCTGTCCCAAATGATTTGGGACGAGTATCCATTTATTCAATCAGTCACTAAAGTGACTGATGGTTAAGGGGGGGGTGATGTAACGGGGTGAATCGTTACATAACAATTTATAAGAAATTGTTAATAGAATATAGCTATAAGAGTTATATTCTCAGAATATTGTCATAAGGACAGATATTCTGTAGCACTTACGAGTAGCTCCTAATTGGTTGATATAGGCCATTATTTCAACCAACGAAGACGCGCCACGACAGACGCACGCAATGAGTGGTGAGCAGATAGTTGATTTACACATTTGTATTCAGGCATAGTTAGATGAGGATAAACAGTGGTTTATTAACAGACATTAACGATTGTAAATACAGTTCTACTTTTTACTTTAGCCAAGTACTCGCTTCTTCTTACCGTCTTCCTCTGCACGTACGAGTGTACGTGAAGTTACGAGGCACCGTCTTAAAATCTGTCGTCAGAATAAGTAGCTTGTACTGTTACCAGTACAAGCTTCAGGGTGCCCTGTTACAATCTTCGTACAATAGCAAATCCGTAGGGCGGGCAGCAAGCAATTTGTTCACAAGCTGCGGTTTCTAGTAAAAAACAGAAACGAAGGATATCCCGATGGTGCCTAATACGGATGTTAGACTCACAATCTCTAGTTAAAGATGGAAGAGCTAGCTCTGGAGCTCGTTCTTTGACATTAGTTATCTGTTCTTACAACGGAATCAAGTTTCAAAGCACTATTGTAACGGGGTAGCCAGTTACATGAAATTTACACCAAACGGTGTCAATAGGGTGATTGTCTAGCGTGACATTTCCCAACCAATTTTCTTCGAGATGGATAATATTGAAGGAGCATTATCCCCTTTCAGGATAACATTCATGCGCTGCTCAAAGATTGGTTGAGAAAGACATATCAACCAAGGTTACCACCAATCGCTGCCAGACGCGCGCAACGAGTGGTGAGCAGATTGTCATCATACGACAATGTAGAATAGTATAGTTAGACAAAGACTGAAGTTTTGTTGTTAGCTTAACTGTATAAAATACAGCTCTCTTTTTACCTTTTACTTAAACTAGCTGTTGAGTAACTTAGTTTTCTCTGCAGATGCTAGTGTACGTGAAGTTACATGTCACCCCAAGCAAAGGGCCCCCCTTACACCTTTACAACAGCAGCAGTTACTGAGAGGCAGCATGATGCTGCGAACGTCTGCGTTAACCTAGTGTACATATATGTAAACGCGTTGCGCGATCCGTCTTGCCACAATTGTGAATCAACTTCTGCATGCGTCGGGTTATATCTATGTATCTACAATTCTATCTCTCTTGGCCAGGTTTCATCATGCGGAGTGTGCGCTAAGAGCGCCTCGTTCAAGATCTTTCATTCTGCACGATCATGTGCACAAAGACGAAGGAGGTACAGGTCTGGGGCAGGTTGAATTTGATGTCCTGCGAAAAGCGTCTGAAGGTCGGCATCGAGGACAATCGGTAGCGTTAGTTAGCGTCTGCCTTTCCATTTGCCGGTAATTATGAATTCAAAGAATACTTCTATGAATCGGTAGGCCGGAACGCCTGCAGGTCTGCAGAGATGTGGCCAAAACGGCTCCATTGGCTGTGTAACGGGGTAGTTCGTTACATGAAATTTACACCAAACGGTGTCAATAGGGAGATTGTCTAGCGTGACATTTCCCAACCAATTTTCTTCGAGATGGATAATATTGAAGGAGCATTATCCCCTTTCAGGATAACATTCATGCGCTGCTCAAAGATTGGTTGAGAAAGACATATCAACCAAGGTTACCACCAATCGCTGCCAGACGCGCGCAATGAGTGGTGAGCAGGTTGTCGCCATACGACAATGTAGCTTAATATAGTTGGATAAAGACTGAGGTTATATTGATAGATTAACTGTATTGATTACAGTTCTCGTTTTACCCTTTACTTAAACTAGCACTTTATGTAGATTATCTTCCTCTGCACGTACTAGTGTACGTGAAGTTTCGTGGCACCCCAAGCAAAGGGTGCCCCGTTACACCTGGTATCACTTCTTAGTCCGTCCAACGACTACTTAGTGTCCGTCATGAACATGTTGGACGTAGAAGACGACATCTTCGACGTCATACGTGAAGGCTACTCCCATTTGAGTGACTCAGAATGGGAGGTAGTCGGCCGCATGAGTGTGCTCATGGGCGAATTCCCCATCAGTGGTATGTTGGAGTCTCTAAGCAATGACCAGCAACATGCTGCTATCAACAAGTTCCTACAAGGGGAACTTGCCGTCGAAAGACAGAAGATAGCCTTGCTACAGCAGCAAGGCTATCATCAGTCGATGGGTGGGCCGACGCACATGCGTCGACCCGAAACCTGAAGATTGATATCTCAAGCTACAAGGGAACCGATGAAGATTCCCTTTTGAGATGGTTCGTCGAGTCAGACGATGCCATCAGGGCCCGTCACATCGAGGGTTACGAAATGCAAGTCACCTTCGCCCTGTCATATGTTAACGGGACGAGCAAAGACTTGGGCCTTATGGCTCAAGCTTCACAACCCAAACGTGCTTGAGTCTTTAAAGACCATGAAGTATTGGCTCAAAGAAATGCAGAGTAAAATCTGCACTCCTTAGATGAAGCAAGGTAAGCGTGACGTGCACGATTACGCACAGCACCTATGCTACCTTGCAAGTAGCGTCACGGAAAACCCTGTTGATGAGCACACGCTCATCAACGTGTTCATCTACGGCCTTGTCGATGAGCCGGTGAAGACCAACATGTTCCAAGATGATTTCCATACACTGGAAAAGGCGATAGCGTATGCGGAACAAGAAGACTTCAGCCTGAGTAAGTCTCAGGCTAACTCACCAAACTATCGTTCGACGAGACGACAGGAAACAGGAGGTCCCGAACCAATGGACCTATGTTACATCTAGAGCGAGAACTCTCGCTCTCTGAGTCACAAGCGAACGGCAAGATGACATCGCTGCCAGAAGATTGGACACTACGCTCATGAGTGTAGTGTACCAAGCACCGCATCACGTCAGGAGACAGGACGTAATGACCACCGTTGGCCAAAGCAGGGTCCGAGGAGTGGGTCCGACCATGTCGCTAAGCCGCGACAGCAAGTCGACCGTCAAAAAACGGTCATGGTCAGTAGGGGAGGAGCACCCTGCTAATCCAGCAACGTCAAGAGAATTTGCAGGACTCTTGACGAAGATTTCCCCCAACGCACAGTCGCTGTGTGTTACTGCCCCTATTGATGAGGAGTCTCTTATTACTTTGAACATCGAAGTGACAAGTGGAATGTCACTTCTCGCCCTAGTTGACTGTGGGGCGTCGAACAGTTCTATTCGACGTCAGTCGCTAAGGGATAGTAGCCTCAACTATGTTGAGCGAGAGTTCCCTTCAACGAGGATGACGGTGTGCCTTGCTACAGGCGCATCCGTAACATTGAATAAACGTGTAGTGGAAATTCACTACACACTAGAAGGAAAGCAGTACGATGATGACTTCGTCGTACTAAATTCAGATGAAAAATTCAATGTCACCCTCGATCTGCCATGGCTTAGAAGATACGAGCTACGGTTCAGCTGGCAGCATCGATCCGTGAAGATACCTGCCGTTTTACATCAGATGGCCATCTCATGAACGTCTTGGAGCGTTCACAAGCGAGTGGAAGTACTACGAGTGAGTGCGATGGCCTCCCTTTGTGGTACGGTCGTTAGTGCGATTGCACAAGATCACAGTGTAGAAGGCCACTACACTGTGCAACCAGCCTCCGGCACCTGTGTAGAGACACAGGCTGCGCCGAAGGTAACCACTCGAAGAGATCGAGTGGACTCGAACACGTATGCACACCAAGAAGGGTGCATCCGAGAATAGAGACTAGTGTTGTTCAAGATGAACAACACGTTGAAGCGAGATCAACTTCCAGAGAGTCGATCGTAGAGCAAGCCCGATCAAATGAAAGAGAGTCGATCAAAGAGGACGTGACCGCGGTAGTCACCCACAGCCAGTACACGTAATGGAAGAAAAATCCAGCGTTTCTGAGAATGATAACTCCCGAGAGACTTATGTTGAGGGTGTGGATTCCCAACCACCTGCGGATGTGTTTTTCCAGGAAATAACCGAGACAGTGAATGTCTTGGTGAGTGACTGATCAAGTGTAGGCGCTTATACATTGATCTGGTTACGCGCCCGAAGTCAGCTTCGGAGTTAGTCAAGTTGCCAACGCTAGAATCTAAAAGATTCTTGCGAGATCTGCGTAGTGACACGATCAAGCAGATCTGCGTACTCGTCACAGAGGACGAGTACGTCGCCGATATTCGGTCGGCACGAGCGTTTGCTGAGAACGAACGGGTTCTCAGTAGCTCATTTATGGATGAGAGTGTCCTCGATGAGAGTACTCGGATTGAGCGATACACGTCCCAATCTTGGGAGTCTTTGAAGACATTTTTTTGTACGAGGATTTAATCGAATTCAGGCATGTTTCCCGGATTCCGTGCCATGCGAGTTGCCGAAGGATAAAGGTACTCGACACGAGGTCGAGCTCAAACCAGGCTCGAAGTACTGTGTCAGGAAGCAGTGGCCACTGCCTCGTGAACAAGTACTTGCGATCGACAAATTTTTTGCCGATCGATTAGCGGCTGGTCATGTGCAGGAAATCAACATCCCCACATAGCTCTCCGACCTTCTGTGTGCGAAAGGCCACAGGAGGGTGGCGGATAGTGCACGCGTTCAACAAGTTGAATGCTGCAACGGTACCGGCCCAAACGCCGATCCCAAGGTAGGATGTAATCATTGATGGTATGGCAAAGAGTACCATCTTTTCGTCCTTGGATTTAATTGATGGCTACTATCAGATCCACATGCGCGAACGGGATATCCCTTACACAGCAGTGAGCACTCCAAGTGATATGCTCTGGAAGTGGCTGGTGAAGCCACAGGGGCTAAGAAACGCCCCCGCACTGTTTGACAGATGTGAAACGAACCTGTTGCGATCGGTGCGCGTTTTTGCACCGAGTTTTTTCGACGATGTCTTCGTCCATAGCCGGGCTATGGATGGAAAGACGGACGTAGAGTTTCATAAAATATACGTCCGAAAGGTTCTTACACTAATGCGAGAGCATAAGTTGTTCGCGAACCTAAAAAAGTGTGTATTCGCAGCAAGCGAAAACCGCTTCTTGGCTGCATCGTGGGTTGGAACAGCGTACGCCCTGATCCGGAAAAGATCAAGACGATTAGCGACTGGCCTGTGCCAGTCGACGTCAAGGGACTTCGAAAGTTTCTTGGCTTAGTGGCGTATTTGCACAAGTAATCGCGCAACTACGCCGAGATGACCGTACATCTCTTTTGTCCATTTAAGAAAAACGAGAGGTGGTCATGGAGTGCTGAGTGTCAGCACTTCTTCGAAGGTATTAAGAAAAGCTCGATACCATCGTCTGTGTTGGCGACTGCAGACCAGGATAGACCATTTCATGTGGTTTGTGACGCCAGCGATTTTTCAATCGGCTGCGCGTTAATGCAGTGCGACTCAGACGGCATTGAGCGCGACGTCTTTTATCAATCGCGTCAGCTGCAAGCAGCTGAGCGAAATTATTCGGTGCATGACAAGGAACTCCTTGCCATGAAATATGCACTGACCAAGTTTCGGGTATATCTCTTAAAAGATAGGCCCTTCATCGTTTATACCGACCGTGCGTCGTTACGCATGGCCATTTACAGTCCACACATTTCGCAACGAATGGCGAGGTGGCTGTCTTTCTTCGCGGAGTACAACTTCTCCGTCGAGTGTTAAACTGATGCTCTTTTGCGTAGGCCCGATTTCGAGCCAACTGCTTAACCCAACAGTTGGGATGATCCCACTGTCGCGACGCTAACAGTGAGTGTTCCGTCGTCGAATCTGCTCGACGACGTGCGAAGTGCATACGCAGAAGATGAGTCTAATTTTACGATTGATGGATTGTGCATTTAATGCGTGCAGTCAAGCTTTGAATAGCTTGTCGCTCTTCAACCGAACGGTATTCTGTTCATGATGGACTGCTGTACTATACAACAGTCAACGGCGACACGCCTCGTGTCGTCGTTCCGGCTCATAATGATTTGCGATGGCGCATCATCATGTAGAAGTGTCACGATGCCCCGACGAGTGGGTATCGCGGTAGAGAAAAGACTTACCTCACGGTAAGTTGCGACTTCTACTGGCCCCGCCAGTATGAGTTTGTGCGCAAATACATTCGCGCTTGCGAAGTTTGTCAACGGTTGAAACCTAGTTTTTCATCCCGCGCACCCTCGCAGCCTCTTCCGATTCCGGCAGAGTGTTGGCAGTCCGTATCGATGGACTCCGTATTCGGGGTCCCCATAGACGTTCACAAGAATACTGATATTCTTGTGTTTGTTAATCTGTTCAGCAAGATGGTATATCTTGTTGCTCTACCGGAGTCAATCACAGATTAGGGCTGTGCGCTTGTATTCATCGATACTATCTTCCAACTTCGAGGGTTACCCCGTGAACTCGTGTCCGATAGAGACCCCCTCTTTACGGCGGACTTCCGGCAATCCGTGTTCCGTACACTTGGAACACGTTTGACGATGTCAACTTCTGACCATCCTGAAACAGATGGTCCATCGGAACGCGTTAAATGCGTCTTCGAAGAGATACTTCGAGGGTATGTACACTCGTTTACGAGCTTAAGTGAGTTCTTGCCGATGGCAGAATTTGCCATCAACAACTCGGTGCACGCGTCGACAGCGCATACACCGTTCTTCGTGAATGGCCTACGCCATCCACGTTTACCCGCCTTCTAAGAGTGTAAATCTAGCTTAAATGGGGGGGGTGGACTCGCTCGAACAAAAACCGATCTGGTTCTTGCTCATCACCCGTCGACAATGGTGTCGTCGTGATGGATGCCAATGTCGATGCGATCGATATCGATGATGGTGATGACGACGATGCTGGTATATTCAGCATCGCCAACGACCGCCAAAGTGAGGACGATGACACCCTCACTGGTGAAGACAGCGTTCTTTCAGACGTGCACACGAAGCGCACTGCCGTTGACAAGGATGAATCAGCAGAGATATTTCTACTGACTCGCGAAGCGGTTGTCCGCTTCGTTTAAGACTATATTGCAGATGCATTAGACATAGAAAAGAAGCGCAGACAAACATGGAAGAGCAAATGCTCTTTCATTTGATGAAGGAGACCTAGTTTTACTGTCTACAGCAAATTTTACCAAAACTCGCAGTGACAAACGTGGGCAGCAGTAAATTACTGCCCAAGTACATCGGTCCATTTCGTGTGTTGCGCCGAATGAGCAACGCTTACACGATTGAACTGCCCTGTACGATGCGTAGCATCCTGCGTTTTACGTCCGTCGTCTCCGCCCGCACTATCAGTGCGAGCCCGTTTCAAGATGCGAAGAACACCTCCACGGTCGAGAGCCGAGACCACCTTCGAGTGGTCCCGTTTTAACGAGCCAGTCTAGTCGACTATCGAAGCGACTTGTTCACGCAGTTCAGCAAAGCCTCGATGAGCTGCAGCCAGCTCGTCACGAAGTGAACGAGTCGAACGTTCGTTCTCAGGTTGCGCGAACGGAAAAGCGGCACGATCGTCCGAGCGCTCGTGCGTTAGGGAATTGGAAATATCCCTTACAAGATCATTGAGCTCATAACGCTGAGTCCGTTCATGAATCAGGTCATCTTGCAACTGTTCCGATGCACGTTTCAGCTCTTGAACATCAAGCTGATCCGACCCTCTATCCGAATCAGGTGTTCCCGCCGCCACCACATTCTTTAATGGACTCAGGCGGTGGTCAACGCTTTCCAGTGGAGCGTGTTTTGAACCACCGCGATGTGAATGGCGTCCGGAAGAGTTACCTCGTCTGCTGGAGTGGCTATCCACCGGCGTGGGACAGCTGGGAGCCTCGTGCCCATCTAATTGTTGATGTCCTTAGTCTCGTTGAGCAGTACGACGAGACCCTCCCGATGCGTTTGAAGAAGGGCCGTCGGAAAATGGCATCCCCAAGCGCGAGTACCGGGATTGCAAAGTGTCAATCTCTTCGGCCATCTTAGCAGCGATGCGCGCCCTCTAGTAGGGAACATTAGGGAGGAAGGCCTCCCTAGGGGCACGTTTCAAGCTGTCCAGGCAACCTGGAAAGGAATTTATCCCGCGAGAGACAGGGTAATCCTGCCTCTCTTGAAAGCCGGTGCAACTTGTATCGCGCCCCGACTGAGTTGCGTTTCTCAAACCTGATGCGAGCTGCATAACGTTTTGCGAGCCAGGCCTCACGGCCAATGCACTCGATGTTGTGGATGAGGGCATTCCATCCTTAGACCAAGGCTTTGCCGTCTCGAATACGGCTACCATTGTACCACCGATGTTTGAAAAACGCATCGGTGAAGAACTCTTCCTCAGCACAGTTAGTTTACGTGCTGGAATCAGGTGAGCAAATCCTCCTGCAATCAAAAACGGGATTCGATCCCGTTCGGTAGTCATGCCGGCCAACCGGTCCAACTCTCCGGATGGTGGCACCCACGGAGACTCCACTTGGGGAGCGTGGCGCAGGACATTATGTTCCCTGGCCTCTTGATTAGTGCCAGCATAACCAAATGACACCAGTGTTACCCATATCCCTCGAATTACTTCGCTCGCGGCGATGTGTAGGTGCATCCCCACCATACCCACGCGTCCTATCGATGGATGGACATGCGTGAGGCGGACACTCATCGGAATTATCACTCGATTCGAAGATCTCGGTCATGATATTGCCGTGCTGCCCAGATCCAGTCAGCCTGGCTTTTGTAGTGTCCGCCCCGGGTGATCCGAAGGCGTGAGGTATCTCCTTCGAGTCGGATGCATCATTGACTCGCCAGAAAAGATGAGATCTATTTTAGACTCATCTTGATTACGACTCGGGGTACCCTCTGCAGACGCAACGGATGTACCTGTCGCACGTGGTGACTCACCACATATAGGATTTACAAAAACAGGCGACTAATCACCTGCTGCTGAGGTGTAAGAGGCACTTTCCTTATCTGCACGCATGCGTGCAGCCGCCTTTCTTGCTGCTGCAGTCTCAACTCGCTTGGTTTTCGAAACCATGCGTTGGAATGGCGAATGAATAGGATTGGACCAACAAGTGCTCCCTTTTCCAAGAGTGATCAAACGGTGGCCACCCTAAACCAATCAATTTTATTCAATCAACAAGTGGTTGATGGTTAAGGGGGGTGATGTAACGGGGTAGGCCGTTACATGAAATTGACACCAAACGATGTCAATAGGGAGATTGTCTAGCATGACATTTCCCAACCAATTTTCTTAGAGATGGATAATATTGAAGGAGCATTATCCCCTTTCAGGATAACATTCATGCGCTGCTCAAAGATTGGTTGAGAAAGACATATCAACCAAGGTTACCACCAATCGCTGCCAGACGCGCGCAATGAGTGGTGAGCAGGTTGTCGCCATACGACAATGTAGCTTAATATAGTTGGATAAAGACTGAGGTTATATTGTTAGCTTACTGTATTAAATACAGTTCCTTTTTACCCTTCAATTATACGAGTTGTTTAAGTAGAATAGCTTCCTCTGCATGTACTAGTGTACGTGATTTTTCGTCGCACCTAGACAAAAGGTGTCCCATTACAGGCCGCAAAGCCAGTAGAATCGATGCGTCTTCGTACAGTCGAAGAGCTTTAAATTGAAAATAGTGGCTAATTAACGTACGCTATTCACCTGGCGGAGCTTTTGACAATGGAGGATCTTGAGGCTTAGTAGCACGGAGTCGGTGAGTCCCACAGGTGAAAAGCAGAATCGGAAGTATGCAGCCGTTGTAGAGACGCAAGCGTGTAGCTTTCGAGGTCTTCTATGGCCGGAGCCCAACTTTTCACATGTGGTGTAGTGCAGCTGCCGCTACATTTTGCAACAAGAGACTTCTTCGGCTTCTCCGAGGAGGGAACCCAATTTGCGCGCAATTCGCCAATCTTCATTCATTAGCATGAGTAATTCGGTTGGACAGCGCGGTTGTGCTGCAGTGTACGATTGTGTGCTCGGTCTTGGACGTGTTCATCAAAAGTGACCAGGTGGCTAGAGTGGCAGGGGATTCAGTCTCGATTAAAGTGGCTATGTCAGCGCTCTGAAAATTAAAGTGGGCTTCGTCGGCGTACACGAACATGTTATCTAGAAGATCGTGGGGAACGCCAAGCTGGCTGGCTAGAATCCGTAAACCCTCCTTGAGGTGACCATTAAAAGGAAGGAGAAAAGTGAGTCTCCTTGTAAAGTACCTGTGTTGCTCTCGAACTGGAGAAAAGGCGACTGCCGAGTCGAAGGGACAGCATTGTGTCTTGAAGTAAAAGCCGAATCAGTCGGATTTCGTCGTTATCGAGAAATGTATTTAGCACGGAGAGAACTTTGTCGTGGTTGAAAGTTTCAAAAGCACGTTAGAGATCGAACACAAGAATATGGAAGCGTTCCTTGCCTTTCTGAGTCGTGCTAGTATCCATCTGTATGTCCACATTTTTTCGACAGTGCTGCAACAGGGTCTGAACCCGCTTTTGTGCAGGAACCAGTACTGTTCGACCTTATAGGAGATGAGGCGTAGCACTATTAAAACGATTGTCTTACGAATGCTGCCGATTAGGACAAAAGATCGAAGTCTGGCGCATTAGCCAGTCGGCTTGTCTGGCTTTAAGAGTCCGAGAAGAATTCCTTCGCCCAAATACATGTTGTCTCCGGTGGCGAGAGCGTGGATTGATGATATAACCGAGTGGTTGAGCTAGTAGTTATGGTACATACTTGATTAGCTCAGGAGGAATGGATTCCGTGCTCGTTACATGTCTATAGTGTAGGCGGCGGAACGCGCTTTCGAGCTCGAAAGCGCTGATTGAATTCTTCAGTGGTCGTTCAACGACGTCTTTAGCGAAGAGCGTGCGCGTGGGATCGAAGAACTGACCGTAGACGTAACGGGATTATACGCGGTTATTAGAACCGGTTATGTAGTGTGTCCACACCAAGTAAAGATCGGTGGATCTGAGTAGTACAGTCTTGGTACCACGTACTTAGGGTAATACCGCATCTTATCGAGTAAGGATAAGGAATCAGACGTCTGTCATAGGATCGCGATATAGAAGTCAGTTAGACAAGATTTTAGGGTTTTATTACCATAGATAAATGAAGAAATCAAGTTCAGATTCCCATTTGAGTCGTTGGACGCTAGTGCCTAGTCAAGGCATAGCGTGTTGTAAGAGTGTTAGCCTTGTGAATACATTTAATCTTGTCTAACTAGCAGTCTCTAGTTAGTGTATGATTTTGTGAATCGTGATCCCTCTGGAACCGGGCACGCTTGGACGACTGTACGTCGTTATCAGTTTATTGTAACTAAGAGACTATGAGTCTAATACCTCTTCTGTTAAGGAGCGTTAAGTAGCTCCGCTACAATTGGTAGCACTAGTAGTCAATCTGCGCCTGAGTCTTCACAGAATGAATCCTCTGCAAGGATGTAGACGTCTGTGAGCCTATCTGAGGCCCAGCTGATAACGCTTGAGAAGCTCACGACGTTGATCGAGCACAACCAAGTGGCATTATAGTGTCGCAAGGCCCGGACGCACTTCGTGCACGTCTCGAGGCCGTTTTGAACTTTGAGTCCACGTTGATCGGACAGGTCCATGGCAATTTGGCATCTGCCATGACCACTCAGTATGTTCCAATACCGGACACTGAGTCAAGGACTCATCCTCTAGGCTTAAGTAACAAGACTTTCGAGGGGAATGAGGGTGAACATCTTCTTATGTGGGTTCGAAAGATGGAGGTTGCCATCAGCTCGGTCTAGCTGGGGTCGGAACAGCAGAATGTGGACCTGGCCCTATCAAAGTTAGGTGGCCGATTCAGGTAGGAGGAGTTCACTTCTGGCACCTCGATATAAAAGGATTTTTCCACCTGGGAAATGCTAAAATAGCAGCTATCTCGGGTGTTTGCCCAGCCTAATTAAAAATGATGCCTGTGATCACGCTTCCTGTCAATCCGCCAGGATATAAAGGACTCAGTCGATTATGTCAAAGAGCTGTAGGCTATAATTGCTGCTACGCAACTTTACACTTTACCTGAGATGGTTCTGCTAACTAATTTTATGGAGGTTATTCGCACTGGCGTTGCCAGGACAGAAGTATTTCGTGCTCAAACTTTGACGTTTATGGGTGCAGTGGACATACCGTTGAACGCAGAGTTCAACTTTAAAACTACCCGCTACAGGACTCATGGGTTCCAATTAAAATCGTCGAGCAATGCCCATCTCATGGATAGGGCAGAGCCCATGGACCTCAAGCTTGCTGAGAAAGACGAAGAAGCTGAGTTTTTGCTGTCGAACAGCGTTCGAACATACGTAGATGTTCGACGTGCGGGAGCATCAAACATCTTCGTCTCAATTTTCCTTTGAGAAGGAACAGACACGCTCATTCAATTCGACCTCTCTACGCTAACCAACTAGTCGGTAAAGCGCGGGAAGACGTCGAGTCCCAGTAGGCGCGGAGCACCCTTATGAAATATATCTAGGCTATGTTGTACTTCTATTAGTTAATGGAGAGCAGGGCCTAACTTCAAGTGGCTCTATGAGCAATTTCACGAAGCATGAGTACGAGCCAGGCTCGTTAATTGCAATCTCAATGGTATAGGTATTTGATCAGCCATGGTCGATATCGATCAACTCCGGAGAGTCTAGAAATTTTGTCCGGCGTTGTTCACTGAAGGTAGCTAGCAGTATGATGAGGCCCTTTAGGCGCAAAATAATGAGACTACCACTGCTCGCTTGGCGACGTGTGCATTGGTCAATGTGCCTAAAAGTTCCTGTGAACTTAAGCGTGAAGTTTTCGGACTGTGACAGTATTGAACGCTGTCCATTCCTTGACGTGTATATGATATATGATATCATCCTTGGCATGGTTTGGCTAGAACGCCATGAGCCGTGGATTGATTGGAGGTCAAATACCTAGGGCGCAACGCGCACTGTTTCTAGCTTAGCTTTGGAGAGTCATCAGCCCACTCCTGCCAGAATACAGAAATGCTATTGGCGCGAGCCACG